CTGTTTGAGTCATGTCTGTATAGGATGGTTTGGTACTTTTAATTTTCCGCAGCTTTGGTTTTAGTTTTTCTCAGAAACTTCCCGTCTGAATGTTTTTGTGGGTTTTTTCAGTAATCTTTATGTACATGCTTGGCTGATGGCTAGCCATCAACTCTCTGTTCTTTTTTCCCCTCATTCTCTCCCCCACCCCCATTCCTCCAATTTAGCACTTTATTAGAAATGTATATACAACATATAATACTGTTATCCTCTTCAGTTTGATTATCAGTTTCTTCATCTATTGCCTTTAGTTTTTTGTACTCTAATGCTTAACAAAAGTTTCTCGTGTAACTACCTTAATGTTTTTGAACATGTTCTGTGCTCCACAGAGCTCATTGTCTCTGTTACATTTGTAAAGTTCTTTAAATTTAATTCATGTGGAAAGTTGAGTTCTTGATGATAATAATACTTAGAAAAATCTTTAAAGTATAGTACTCTGCAAAGTGATTAATAGTATATGTCCTAATATTAAGAATAGAGGAAAAGAAGGGAGCAAAGGAGAGAGAAAGAATAAATATGTACTTCCCTATCACATTGCACCTTCATCACTTGAGAGACTCAAGGTGAGGGCAAGACTTGTTCCTTACAGTACAACGACAAAATTAGGAACCCCAAAGCTACAAAGCAAGAAAGTCTAAAATAATTTTTAGGTTAACTTATCCATTTTTTTGTTACTTGTCTAGACTTAGGCTAGCTGGAGTTGAGGGTGGGGGTGGTGGCAATGGGAGTGCCACTGGCAGGAAAACTTAACTAAAAGTTATTTTGGAAAGAGTGGAAGAAGAGAGAAGTAAAGTTAAAAGGACAGAATTTCTTTTCTGAAAATTGTTTTGTACTTCTTAATCCACAAGACATATATATTTCTAAACTATTGTATACAAATATAATTCACTTAAAAACAGTATACAAGTCCAAATATTTGATTTATATGTACTTTTCAGGATCATATCTATTATATGCCAATATAGGAACATTATCACAAGAAAAACATGTTTGTAGTTTAAGCTAAGTTCTTCAATTTAAAGTTTTCTGTCAGAATCTGTATATAAATGGAGAGAGATCTGGGGGAAGCTTTCCCTTCCTATTCAGAACTTCTAGCTTTCCCAATAACTTAGGCAATCAGGAAAAGTCTGAAAGGAGGTGCTGTTTGGTGGGAGCTAGGTGTTCCAAGAGACTGAGGTGAGAGGGAAGACCATTCTAGGCATGGAAGACAGTCTGTGCTATGTTTAGAAAATAGCAAATAGCCCAGTTTTATGAGAACATAGAATACAGGAAGGGGAATGATGTATAATCAGTCTAGGGAAAAAAAAAAGACTGGAACCAGATTATGAAAGGGTTTTAAGGGGTGAGGGTGGGAGTGGGGAAGGAGAGGAGAGTTTGTTTTCTACCCTAATGACAACTGAATTTTCTTAAGCAGGAGACTGACATAGTCAAACTAGAATATCAATTTGGCATCTATGTGGATGATGAGAAAGAATAATAGCTGGCATTTATATAGCATTTGCAAAGCATTCTACAAATACTATATCATTTTATCCTCACAATGACCCTGAGAGGTAGGTAGGTGCTGTTATTATCCTCATTTTACAGATGAGAAAACTGAGGCAAGAAGAGATTAAGTGACTTGTCCAGGATCACACAACTAGTAAGTGTTTGAGGCTAGATTTAACCTCAGGATTTGAACTCCTGACTCTAATTCCAGCAGTCTTTCCACTGTACCACCTAGGTACCTCTGGGATGAATTGGAAAGTAGAGAAAATGGATCCAAAGAGACCACATAAGTGAAGAATGCCAGAAGTGTTGGTCTGATTCATAGATGGGAGACGAAGAAAAAAGAGAAATGGTGCCTGCCCTTAAGGAGCTTTTATTCTAAAGGAGACAGTAAGCACATATATAGATAGAGAGAAAACACATACAAGACAAATACAAGGTAACTTGTGGTGAGAAGAGGGAAATATTAATGTCTGAGAGAACCAGGAAAGGCCTCATGTAAAATGTGGGACTTGAGTCAAGTATGAGAAGAAAAAAGGGATTCCAGGAAGCAGAAGTGAGGCCGACTTCGTTGTAGGCAGTGGAAACAGCCAGCGAAAAGGCATAGGGATGGACATCTCCCATGTGGAGAACTACAGGAAGGAAGGAAGGCCATTTTGTCTGGGCCTTAGAGTTACGTGGAATGGAATGAGACTGGAAGGGTCAGGATTCGTCAAGTATAAGGGCAAGAACTGGGATGAAGAAGAAGACTGTGAGCCAGATTTTGTTGAGAAAGACCTGGGACAGAATTAATAATAGCCAGCAGCAGATGTACAGGGGGAGAAAGAGTTTGCAGTTTCAAGGTTTGTTTTTTTTTTTTATTTTTTTGGCTTTGGTTTTTTAAAATATATCCCCAGCTACAAAGAATTATAGAATTACCATCTATATTGTTTTTTATCTTTCCTGCAGCTAGCACGGTGTTGTCAGTTGAATTTGTTAAATTGAATTGAATAGTTGCTCAGGTTAAATAGTAGTTACAGAAATCCTGGTTGATTAGCCTATTTATTTATTTTTTTAGTTCAATAAATGTCTGTTTAAAAAAAAAAAGTTGGGGGAAAGAGTAATTTGTGTAGCTCTAGGGGAAAAGAGATGTCTTGGAAAACAGTTGAAATGTAGTTCCTAATCTAATAATTCATTAATTATTCTGTAGTTGATATTTCCACAAAGTTGAATTAGATACCCACCTGTTTATTTTTAGGTACCTGGACAAGTTGTTTTGTTAATTTGTTACTCTACTGAATAAGCAGTCAGAAGCTCAACTCAGTAAAAGAATGACTCTGCTTTGGTGGGTTAAGTGATTTACTTTAAAAAAAAAAAAAGAATTGAAGATGATATATAATTATGTTTATATGTACAAAGACAAACATATACATAAAAGTAACATAATTACTTTTAACAAATAACCCTAGGAAATTTGTACAATAAAATTTCACAATTGAGTTTATAGACTTAAAAGATCAGTTCGATTAAATGGTAAGAATTATTTCATGAATTTGTAAAATACTTTTCACCCATTGAAGATTATCTTTTATTAAATAAATGAATCTTTTTCTGTCTAATAATAATGTCACATACAGTACATAATGGTAATTATTCAAAAACCACAAACAAATGGATCAATTAGCTAGGCTCTGAAAAGCAGAGGAGGAAGAGTATTCTAGGTATGTGGAATGGTTTGCACTTTAGGAGATGGGTGTATCAAATTCAGTGGAGGAACATAGTTTGTGGAAGGAAATAGTATGAAACAATGCTGCAAAGTTAAGTGAGAATCAAATTTTGGTGGACCTTAAATGTCAGATTGAGGAGTTTGTGTTTTTTTAATAATAGCAAACTATGGAGGGAAATATAGAAATTTAAATATAATTAACTTAAAATGCCAGAAATGTAGGGTTTCTTCCATAAGACCAAGGTTTTCTTTTTTCCTTAATAAATTTATTTTTTTTTGCATTCTTTTTTTTTAATAATCTGAATTCTCTCCCTCCTTTCTGTCTCTCCCCCAGCTATTGAGAAAGGCAAGCAATATGAATTCAGTTATACATGTGAACCTATGCAAAACATTTCCATGGTAGCCATGTTCTTAAAAAAAAATTTAGAAAGCAAGAAAAATAAAGTGAAAGAATTATCTGTGATTTGCACTCAGAATTCATCATTTCTGTCTCCAGAGTTGGATAGCATTTTTTATCATAAGTCCTTCTTTATTGTCTAGGACCATTGTATTGATCAGAGTAGCTGAGTCTTTCACAATTAATCATCTTTACAGTATTGTTACTATGTACAATGTTCTCTTGATTCTGCTCGCTTTACCTTGCATCAATTCATGTCTTCCAGATTTTTCCAAAATCATCCTGTCATTTCTTAAAGTACAATAGTATTCCATCACAGTCATAAAACACAACTTGTTCAGCCATTCCCCAATTGATGGGCATCCCCTCAATTTCCAAATCTTTACCACCACAAAAAGAGATGCTGTAAGTATTTTTGAACATGTAGCTCCTTTTCCTTTTCCTTTTTTTTCCCAATCATTTTGAGATACAGACCTAGTAGTGGTATTGCTGGGTTAAAGGGTATGCACAGTTTTATAGCCTTGTGAGTTTAGTACCAAATTGTTCTCCAGAATGGTTGCACCTATTCACAATTCCACCGACAGTGAATTAGTGTTCCAGTTTTCCCATGACCCCTCAAGCATTTGTCATTTCCCTTTTCTATCATGTTAGTCAATTTGATAAGTAGAGGTAGTACTTCACAATTGTTTTAATTTGCACTTCTCCAATATTTAGAGCATTTTTTCACAGCTTTGATTTCTTCCAAAAACTGCCTGTTCATATCCTTTGACAATTTATCAATTGGAGAATGACTTATTTTTATAAATTTATATATATATATATTTGAGAAATTAGGCCTTTATCAGAGAAATGTGCTCTAAAAAATGTTTCCCATTTTACCTCTTTTCTTCTAACCTTGGCTACATTGGTTTTGTTTGTATAAAAACTTTTTAATTTAATATAATCAGAATTATCCATTTTACTTCCCTTGGTCTTCTCTATCTCATTTTATCATATCCCTTATTCATAGATATGACAGGTAAAGTTTTCCATGCCCCTCTAATTTGCTTAAGCTATCACTCATTGTGTTAATTATGTTCACCTTTTAACCATATCTTGGTAAGCAGTGTGAGATGTTAAAAACTAGGCTTTTCTTATGAGAATATCTATTCTGAACTCCAAGAGTTATAAACATACTCATTTTTATGAATCTTTGTGTTGACAGTCATAGGATTGGGTTCTCGTTATTTAAACACTTTTTACACAGGATTAATAAAGTTATCTTTGTTTCATTTTTGTGTTGAAATTCTGAGCTAATACCTCTGAAAATAACCATAGGCTCAGCTCTTTGTAGCAAAAACCACAACTACAATTAAATTTTGTGATGTTTTTTAAGATGTCAAATGTCTTTTTGCACTTTATTATATCAGCAGAGTTGTGTTATTAATCATCCAGTTTGTCATTGATGTTTGCATGGGTACTTTCCCCATTTCCATAGTGGATTTGATGTAAAGATCAATTGCTTTAATGCGGTGAATTGGCCTTTCTAAAGAGATTATATAGTGTCTTTTTAAATGTTTTATCTAGTAAAAGGAATATAATGGGATCTGTGCTACTTCTGGCAGCAGCAAGACAGATGAGGAAATTTTTTATTTCCACTAAATACCCCAGTTGTTGGCTGTCATTTGTCTTGTTTAGGGCATAAAAAATGGGCATAAAAATACTGTATGGAAGAAAGCAAATTATCAGTAGAAATTGAATGACTGAAAGGTGTCTTTTCACTGAACAATAAGTGGAATATTTCTTTGTAATAGATGTGCTTTTCCTTATTTTTCTCAGATAGCTGACAAAAGAATAATATGATAGCAGTACCACTAGGAAACAAAAACCAATAAATGCAGTTCCAACAAGTCTTGCAGGACCAGAAACGCCAGCACCACATTCTGCCACTTCATTGTAGCACATTTTCCCATTTTCTTCATAAAGCTCCACAGCAGAGTAATAAATAATAACTGGAATTACTGTGGCCAATACAGCCCCCCATATAAAGCCGCACACCTTTTTGGCAAAGTTGGGCTGGCAGAATTTTTTTAGTATGCGTCCATAAAATACTTTTTCATAGAATGAGGCATTCTCTTCCTGGGTGAGGTCTTTTTTCATAAGAGTGGCATAACGGCTTATGGCAATGCAGCTTAAAGTGGTGAGACTGACAAACATGCTGACATGCAAGAACAGAGTACCCAAAAAATTGACTACTTTGCATTTTGTTGAACTGTACATCCAATTAAATCCTTCCATGAAATAGGCACTCATAAAAGGCATAGCACTGCATACAAGCAAATTTGCAGTCACCAGATTTATTAAGTACATGTGTGTTGATGTTTTCCTAGAAATTTTTCTCAAAAATACCCATTGTGAGAGTATGTTTCCCAAAAGTCCTAGAATGCATAGAAAGATATAAATGATAGGTAAAACAATTAAAGAGGCCGCTGATTGTTGAATATGTGTGGAATTATAACCCATTTGTACCAAATTTTCTTGAACGTGGTGCAGGATCTAGAATAGAATTGCACAGAAGAGTTGATTTCATATTATAATTTTGAATAAGTATTTGGAGAAAATAATAATATAATTATGTAGGATATGTTGCTAAAATAGATGAAAAACATCAGTGTCTTCTCATTGCAAATTGTTGAACTGAATAAAGAACAACTAACAGTGATTGTTGTAATGGAAAATATATCTAAAAATTAAAATTTTAAACTAATAATTTTAAGTGCAGTATTTGTTCTTTGTACCAGATAAGTTTGAAATTTTTCAGGTTTCATTTGTAATAGTTAATGGAAGTAATAATTTCCTTTTCTTGAATAGTAGTAATGGTATAAAAGTACATTGTCATGGTAGATTCTCACTAATCAGAGAGAAGCCACATCTGATTCAGTTTAAAAAAGTACTTAAAATAATTTTAAACTTTAAAAATAAGTCAAATTCAAATCAATAAACATTTGTTGAACAAAGGTAATGCCATTCTATTACTTTGAAGTACATGTTGATAGTAACAGAAAATTAAGGAAGCGTTGTTAAGTGAAGATCCTTCAGGCTTACTGACATTAGGTAAAGCCTGTCAACACACCCTCTAGAACATTAGATTTTGTCATGCTCCGTGCCTGTGGCATACATAACCTTACACTCCTGCCCTCTGCCCCATTCCAGCTATGGAAATATAATCAAATCAATACAGTCATTACTACTAGAAAAAGCTTTTCTATCAACTCCCTTGGGATTCCACCCACCATCTCTCTGATTTCCCAAACCAAAAATATTCCTCCTAGGCTACCTCTCCCTTATATGTTCTGTATTCATTATTAGAATATAAACTCCATAAAAAGGCAGGGCTTGGTTTACTTTTTGTATTTGTATCCCCAGTGCTTATCACAATGTTTTGTGGCACAATAGGAAAGACTTATATTATTTCCATTATTTAATGAAGAAAAATATTAGGCTAATTTTTTGTTTGGAAAACCCCCTCTTTGTAGTTCAAGAGTATACTTCAATCCAAAAGAGCAGAAAATAGTGTAGGTCCTAAATTGAGTTCTAACCTGAAACAGGGATAAGATGTAAATCACAAAGATGATGAAGAGGCCTAATCAGTTATGGTGCACATATCATCCACAAATACTCTTAATACTTTTTCCCAGTTTTAATATCTAGAGTGCTACTACAAAAATTATTTTTCTCTACTGACGATTGGAGGCTGCCTGTCTCTACTGAAATGTTTGAGGTTTTTCAAAAAACAAACTATTTAATCCCAACAATAGTGCATATGTACTTTTTTTTTCTTCTCACTTACTTCAAAGGCCACGCAGGAATCCCTGAAGAGTTGAACTGTAAGTCTTAGATCATGGCTTGTCCACTCTTGTTGTAGAAGGCAAGAAAAGGGTTAATTAGAAAAGAGAGAGGAAAGGACCAGGGGAAATAGAGAGTTTGAACTGAGGTCTGTTATCAGGAGCAGACAAAAAGAAATTAACCTACATTCAATAACCCTATTTATTCAGTATAACAGTATGTCTCCATTTAAATTAACATGTGAAGTGCTTTGTAAATCTTAAGGTACAATGTGAAATTTTATCATTATGAAATACTTTAGGTTCTTTAAAGTTTGTTAAAGAATTCTCTTCTAAAATTTTATTCTCGAAAAAAACTGTAAACACTGTAAGTATTTACAGTTCCATTTTAATGTTATGCATTTCATTTGATTATCCAGTATTTGACAAAATAGCAGTGCTTCTGTGTCTTACATTAAAAGATTCTAGTTTATAAAATTATACTAATTTTAAAGCAAACAGACAACAAACATTTACCAAGCACTTACTAGGTGCTATGTACTCTATTAAGGGCCAGAGATACAAATACAAGGAAAAAGAAGCACAACCTCTTCCTTCAAGGAACTTAAATGAAAAGAGGAAGAGGAAAGAAGGTATCCATGTTGGGGCATAGTGGCAAAATCCAGAGGCGGATTGTTGAGGGGACCTGCCTACTACTACCTTCAAGACATCAAAAGATTCTAGATGTTACTTAAGTTCAGCAAATGATTTCTTCAGTGTCTATTGTCTACAGAAACTGCTACACACTGAGAGATACAAAGTTTAGCTGATGTGCTTTTTCCATTGACTCTGATCTCAAAACATCTGACTACGTTCCTGAGTTGTTATGATCAAAAGAATTCATCACCTGGTAGCTGACCTTCTGATGATGTGTATCTTTAAACTTAGACTTGTTCTCAAAAGGCAGATGTTGTCTACCACTGTTTCTGGTACTCCAAGCCTTTTAACCTTGGGGTGAAACAGAGCTTGTGCCCCCAGCATAGCTTTGGGAAACCTAGGGTCAGTCGCCTCAGCAGCATAATTAGGCATTAGAGTAAGACTTTAGTGAAAGAAAAATAACTTGATCTAGATAGTAGATATATAGGTTTTTTTCCCCCAGAAAACAAGAAATTAACTCATTAGAGTACAGAACACTTTGTTAACAAACTTTAGTTTACAATATGCCCATTTCTTCTTACACTCTCTAGACCAGGAGTCAACAAATTATGACCTGTGAACCAAAATCAGCCTATTGCCTATTTTTATACAGCAAACTTAGGAGTGGTCTTTACATTTTAAAATAAAGTTTTATTGTATTTTAAAAAGTAAAAATGATTTTTAGCTTACTGGACATATAAAAACAGGTGGAAATCCTGATTTGCCCTTGGACCATAGTTTGCCAACCCCATTTCTCAACCATGTTTATTTATCCTGGCCAAGAATCAGGTAGCTGTCTATCAATACCACCCATATATGTTCTGGATCAGAATATTAACTTTGGAATTTATATCTGGAAAATTATTGAGGTACCTCAACTGAGATTATATGAATTCAGCATAGTCTTTGAAGCTTTGAGCCTGAATTCTATAGTCTTAAAAATTTTAAGAAAACATTTTGTAGGTAGAAATATATAAAACCTAATCTATGACAATAATAGTTGATAAAGAGTACTTTATGTTTTGCGAATCATTTTGTACATATTATCTGTGTTTACTCCTCTCGATATAAGATAAATATTATAAGTGTTGTCCCCATTGTACAAATTAGGAAATTGAGTCTTATTGAGCTTAAGGGACCCACAGCCCCTTATCTAGTAAGCGTTTGAGGTTTATGTGTCCAACTCTCTTTGCACTATACAATGCTGCCTATCAATGTATAACTCAATTGATTTAGAAATCTCAAAAGTTGAAATGAAAATATTCTTATATTAAACAAAATCCAAATCTCTGATCTGAACTGGCTTTGATTTTACATGTATGGTATAATCTTTTTATAATGTTGATACTGGGAATATCTTCTACCTCAAATTGTATTATATCATGCTTTTATAATAATAGCTTACATGGGTAGTACTTTAAGATTTTTAAAAGTGCTTTAAATATATTATCTCATTTAATCCTTGTAATAGCCCTGTGTAGTAGGTGCTATTATTGTCCCCATTTTATAAATGATGAAACTGAGACAGACAAAGGTTAAATATCTGACCCAGGGTCACACAGGCAGAAAGCATCTGAACTCCCATGTCCTCCTCATAATAATACCTCTTCATCCTGCAGTGCCATCAAGCTATTTCCTTATGTCTCTTCTACTTTTCACAGCCAGACTGCCAGAAAGACTTATCTAGACACATCGCCTCCTTGTCTTCACTTACCTGTTGGGTTTATCTTCCAGCTCTGCCAGGCTTCTGGAATTGCTTTCTCTAGTTACCTAGGGTCTCATAAGTGTTAAATCCGTTCACTTTTTTTTTTCTCATTCCTAATTTTACTTGATTTCTCTGAAGCTTTGGACATTAGAACATTTCTTCACTCTAAATGCTTTCTCTTTTCTTAGATTCCATAACACTGATCTCTTGTTTCTTCTACCTATCCCATTCTTGAATTTGTCTCTTAGAAAGAACATCATCCACTACTAAACCTGGTTCTCCTTTGAGGACTATCTTGGGCTTTTTCTCTACTCAGTGTTGTCATCAGCTTCTACGGGTTTAATGATCACATCCACTAAGAAGACTCCTAGATCTGTATGCCCTACCAAGTTCTTTCCTGAATCCCAGTCCTGCATATCCAGTTACTTGGCAATTCTGGTTAATTCTGCCTTCCCACTATCTCTTACATCTCCCTCTTCTCTCAGTTTATAAGGCCTCTGCCCATCAACCACCTCTCACGTGAACTAATGCAATAATGTTCCAACTCCTCTCCCAACTTCTCATCTCTCCCCTCTCCTAGTCATTCTCCTTACAACCGCACAGTTAGCATTCCTAAAATACAGATCTAACCATTTCACTCCCTGGTCACAAATCTTAATTGGCTCCTTATCACCTCTGGGATAACCTGTTACCTCATTTGCCTTGTATTTGTAAAGCCCATTGTAGTCTTGAACCCACCTACTTTTTCAGACACTTCATTTCAATTACTATCACACACATTTTTTCAGCCAAACTGTGACCTTGTTTTCTGAACTCAACATCCCACCCCCACCCCCACCCCACCCCTGTGCCTTTACGTCCCCATGCCTGTGATGCACACCATTCTCACTTCTGCCTTTTAGAATTCCTGGCTTTCTTCAAGGTTCACCTCAAGAGCCACCTCTCACTTGTTACTACTCTCTTCCTTCTAAAATTACCTTATTTTTATTTGCCTGTGAAAAGACTCTGCCTTTCCAGTAGAAGAGAAGCTTCTCAGAGGCAGAGATTGCTTTCTGTTTTCTTTATCTTGTTAGTGGTTAACACAGTACTGACTTTATACATAATACTTAATGTTTATTGATTTATCTGCAAATATTGCTACTTCATTTAGTAGAGAGAATCTTATAAGTGAAACAGTATGTAGGATTGCTAGCTAACTTGGCAACTTTGCTTCCCTTTTAAAACTGCAAGAATCATGAGGAAATGAAGGAGACAGTGATGTAGTGAGAAGAGTACTAGACTTGGAGTCAGGAGGTGCCTGGCTTTAAACCTGCCTCCTGTGAGACCGTGGGCAAAATACTGAACCTCTCTATGCATGAGCTGTTTCATCTGTAAAATGAGCATAGTAATCGTTGTACCTACCTTAGAGGGTACTTTAGAATATCAGGTACATAAAGTGCTTTTGTAAATCTTAAAGTACTCTGAAAGTATTCTGAGAAAGAGGGGAAAATAGTATTGATTAGTCCTGTCAAACAAAGTTGAGTTTCTGTGGTATTCTAACTTGTAAAAAATAGCATCTGAACAGCTTTTATAAGCTTCTTGAAGGTTATAGAGAGAGACGGGGGAAAAGGTTGTGTATAAGTTTTCAATATATTTATTTAACAATAAACTAATATTTTGAGCTTTATCCTTATTGTTCTTTTTCATTTAAAAAATGTCTAACAAAAACAGAGGGAGAGAGACTTTTATCATCTTATATAAAGACAAAAATATAAGAGTAAGTTACACATATTATTTTCTAATAGAAGTTTTTGTTCATCTTTCTGCTTTAAGATAAAATAATAGCATATCACCACAGTGCCCAACTCATCACACTTTAAAAGTGCTTTTTGAGTTTGATTGAATTGAATTGAATTGAATCATGAGATATAAAGCCTGTAAGACTTATACTTTTTAAATTAAGTTTCAATTTTGATTAATTTTTTTAAATGTCTGCATAACATAATCATGTATCCTTTCATAAACATTTTTAGAATTCTAAAAAATTCTATTTTTCAGTATTTTGAGCATTTTTATTATCTAATAGATAAATTAGCGATCTACCTTACCTGTGTGATATGCAATATTATTTAGATTCACCAGTGATGGATTTCAAACTTCAGTTTCTCCAGTCACTGTTCCAAAAGGCTTGTATTTCAGAAATGCATAGGCAAATTCTTTTCAAATTCCAGTAAATATAGTTTCTCAGAAGATTGAGGTATCCTAAATTAGGCTGTTTAAAAAGCAGACAAACCCAGAGCTTACAGTGCAGTGTACAGGTCCAATTTAACAATTGAAAATAAATCTATTTTAGTTTCTTAAGGTTGGAGGAAGTTGACAGACTAGTTCCTTATTGGCTATTTTAAGTTCTGGTTAGTATTGAACTCATGTCATGCTTTTTAAAAAGCTAGTTAAGAGTAGAACCAGTTAGTCTTACACAGAAGAAAAAACTTTTATACTTTGGATAGCCGTGTTGTTGACAAAAGTACTAGAGTGGTTTGCTGTTTCCTTCTCCAGTGGATTAAGGCAAACAAAGGTTAAGTGACTTGCCCAGGGTCACACAGCTATTAAGTGTCCGAGGCCAGACTTGAACTCAGGTCTTCCTGATTCTAGACTCGGCATTTCCCAGATGAATCTTAGGAGTCTCAAGGAATGCCAATATTTTGGTGTATATATAGAAATCTTCATTTCAGAAAAAGTTGCCAAAGTTAGATTGTGGATATAAAAAGTTGGGGGCAGGGGCTACTCTGGTTAGTAATCTAATACTGAATTAATAAAAGCACCACCCAATTTTGAAGGCTGCCAAACATGTAAATAAATGCATCCAGAAAGCTATACCTAATAACAAACACTACCCTTTTACACAGAAGTATAGAATGTTAGATCTGGAGGGGACCTAAGAGACCCCCTGTTAAACCCTGATGATTTAAATTACTTGTTTTGTGCTGCTGAGCTAATAATCGGCAATTGTGGAATTAATACTTGGGCTTTGTGATTCTAAATCCTATTTCTTTCCATGCTACCATACTGCGTTCTTAAGTGACCAAATGAGGATATGGAAAAGAGAGAGCTTGTCCTAAATCTGTTTGTTACTTAGCATTCCATATTTTATTCATCTTACACATTTAAATTAATGCAATAATTTTGCCATTTGGAATTTTTTGAATTCTTTAGTTATTTCCCATAATTCCAATAACTTTTACATACCATTTTTATAATCTTCTTTTCCCTAATATTTTTCCTCTAAACAAAGGGCAGGGTATCTAAGCCTTGATGTATGAGGTACTCTGGTTTCATTTACTGCTGTCACTGGCAATGTTAATTTCACTCTATAACTCCTGGCGATTTTGCTGCTCCTTCGGTAGCTATCACTGTTTCTCAAAAGGGATTGCTTAAATTAAAAAAAAAAAAAAGTCATTCTAAAGAGTTTAGAGAAGAGACCATGAAGATTATGAACTGATATTTGAAAGATGGTATTTATTCTTAAGCTTTCTTTCTTTTAAAATTTCATGTTTGGGGATGATTTAGGGGCCAGGCAACTGTTGTAGATTCTGTTCACTGCTTGTGTGCCCCTTTGCATAGTTCCACTGACTTAGAGGTGCACTGTTATAACTCAAGGCCGGAAGAAGGTAGTAGGAGGGGACATATAGGAAAGGAGGAAATATCCCAGGTATACAGATGTGGAAAAAAATATTTCAACAGGTGGATCTAAAGGAAAAGTGCATTCCTGGTATGGTGTAGTGTGAAATGTAGCTCTGGAAAGTGTAGACTAGACCCAGATTCTGGTGTACTTTAATTGCCAGGCTAAGTGGTATATATTTTATTCTACAAGAAATAGAGCCATTGAAGATATTTGGACTAGGGTTGGCATGTTTATACCTATGTATTAAGAAGATTATTTTAGCAGCTTTGTGAAGGATGAATTTAAAAGGGGAGGGATTAGAGGTTGGGAGAGCAATTAAAAAGGTGTTGTAGTAGTCTACATGAAAGGTAATAAAAGTATGCAGAAGGTTAGCAGTGTAGGTTGAGAGAAGAGGACAGATGCAAGTGAGATTGTAGACATAGAATTATATAGTAAGAGTCAAAGATGACTCCAGAGTTACAGGACTGGAAAAATAGTGATACTAGGAATATAAATGGGGAAGTTAGAAGAGGGTAGGTCTAGGGGAAAGGATGACAAGTTCAGTTTTGAATATGTAGAATTTAACACACCAGTGCTCAGGGAGAATTGAGGACTCATTATATAGATTTAGGGTCTATAGGAGTGATAAAGATAGGAGAATAAATGAGATCACCAGAGAACAAGTGAGGCTTAGAGGGAATGTGACCTTGTCACGTTTGTTTAGGGAGCAGGAGGAAGCAGAGAGTGAATTGGCAAAGACCAAGAAATGACCAGACGAATAGGAGGAAAACCAGAAAAAAGTACTGTTAAGAGTTACTAGATGGCACCTTAAAAAGGGTAAGGACTGAGAAAGAAGTCCATGGGATTTAGTGGTTAAAAAATCATTTGTGACATGTAGATTTTCAGTAGAGTCATAGGATCAGAAGCCAGACTGCAAAGGTTTGAAAAGTAAGGAAGTGGCAAGGTAATGAGGAAGTGAAGGGCAATAGTCATTTAATAAGTGTCGTCTAAGTTTCTGCTTTGTACTCAGTACTGTGCTACATAACATGCTTTGAAAAGGGGCTTGTGTGGGTTTCAGAGAAACGTTGGACAGAATCGCTGTCCTTAAAAAAACTAGAAGTCTGTGAGGCAAGATTTGCATACAAGGAACTATTTGAAAATAAAACCATATATAATGAAATCCTAAATTTTTCTGTACAAGGAAAAAGTAACAAAAGCAGTATATAGTATGATCATTGTGTACATGAAGAGAGAGGACTAGATAATCTCGAAAAGAACCTGTTGAGGCTAGTCTGTGACTCTGTGAAAGCAAAAAGAATAAAGTGGAGTATGTGTGCTCCTGAATATTGATATCAGGGGTCACAAAAGATAGGTAGGTTTGGAGTTGAGTTAATAAACACATTCTGGTCATCAGAAGCAGCCTTTGCAATGGCTCAGAGATAAGACTGAAGGCCTGCCTAGTTCAAGGAACAGCAAATAGGTCAGTCTGGCTGGAATATAAAGGGGAATGTAATAAGCCTAGAAAAGCCAGCAGGAAACAGATTTAGAAAGGGGTTTCAAATATGAATCTGAGAAGTTTTTGTTTTATTGTGGATGTGACTGGGAGTCATTGAAGGTTCTTGTTATATTTGCATATTCATTTGGTCCACACAGTCATTTCCCTTCCTCATCTCCTTTGCTTGTTGTATCAAGGCCTACCACCAGGAATTTGCTCAGTTGACTGGCCTGGTATTGCCCTAATAAAAATAATAAAGTGCTTTCCCTCTCTTACTTGTTTCCTATTTATCCTGTCTATAGCTTGCCGCACACGCACATGCACACACATGTTTGCATGTGATCTTCCCATTAAAATGTGAGCTCCTGGAGGGCAGGGAATGTCTTTAGCCTCTTCTTGTATCCCCAGTGTTTAGCACAGTACTTGGCACATAGTAGGCACTTAATAAATGTCTTTTGATTGATATACAACAACTGCAAGTAGAACTGTGTCAACATATAGGTGATGGGTCAAACAATATTTGTTTGCCATGGCCTCTGGATACATAGAACTATAAATGTTCAAGTTCCCAGTTGCCCAGTGAAGCTGCTTAGCCATGATAGAGACCCTTCTCTATATACAAAATATATATTTCCTGGCCATTTCAGTTACAGCAACCAGATCTTTTCTTTCCTATTCCACATTTAGACAATAGAAAAAATACCATCATGTTGAACTCTTAACATTCTTGATTGGGATCTTGATGTTCCACTTTGCTTCCACTACAGTGAGAATTCAGATAGCTGTCCTAGGCTTTATTTTTACTGAATGTGACCTCAAGTAAATCATTTAATAATCTATGTTTTCCAAATATAAAATGAAATTTTAATGTTCATCCCTTTTTTTCTTATTGATTTTTGAAAGAAAAATGAAATTTGAGCTATTAAATGGAAAAAAAGGAATGCAATTGGAGGTATTTACTTAAATATAAAATTTTGGGGCAGTATTAAGGGACTTTCTCTGAATAAAATAATGATGAGCATTTATAAAAAAAACTGAATGAACCATCAACTTTTAACAAACACAGAGGGTAATGCCAAGTTGTTTGATATCTTCTAATGTAGTTTAATTGTATTAAGTTATACTGCTTATAAAGAAGACCCAAAAAGAAATGGAAAAGTGCATAGTTAGTATAAGTAAGCTGTAGTATGTTATCACTGATGACTTGCGCACAAGAAGTGGCTTTAAAAATATCCAGTCAATATCTGTTTGGAGAAGGAGATGGACCAAAGGACAAGTGTATTAGTGTGGCCTTATACAGATAATTGATTTAACTGCAATCTTAATACAGATCTAAAAGGTTACTCCTTCATTTGTTGTATTCGCTAAAGAATTCAATCTGTGGGTGGGGCAAGATATATAGGAGAATATGGATAAAATTTTCACAGGTTGAGACAGGCATGGATGAACTGTGATCCATACCTATTAGAAGGAATTAACCCACATCGATAAGGTCCCACTTCCATTGATGATAATAAAAGCTTATAAAGCTCTCCATACTGACAAAATGGCTTTTTGATACCACTTTACTGAAATTATTTCATCTATAAATAATGACTACAGTAAACTCTCATTTAAAATGTTGGGAAATAACATTTAAAGGACTTTTTAATCTGCCCTCTGGTGAATTGTTATTTTCTCCAGTTTACCATACACATATAAGCAATTTCAAAGATGTCTGATACAATTAATACTGAAAAAGTGCTGAATAAAATTTAAATCTCCATTCAGTTAAGTGGTATTTCAGAATTTGACAGTGCCATAGGGATATTATGAATATTAAATATGATACTCTTAATATAGATGTTCTGGTTAATAGAGAAATAATTGTCAGGAAAAAAGTTCCAATAAAATTAGGAATTTAACATGTATCATTTCACTTTGGCTTTTGGATGTTCTAACTTCTGAATTTATGTTGCATATTGACAGTTTTAAAATGTAATGTTATCTGTTTTGTTGTATTTTTTTTTTCATTTTGTTAAATATTTCTCAATTATATTCTTATCTGGTTGTGGCTGTACTTAGGAGGGCATCATGTTTGACAC